TCGATTGCGTCAGTAAACGATGTGCTCAAGTTCATGTCGGCACCCCTCAATACAGAGCTTCCTCTCTACCACTTCAACTGATTTTTGAAACCTCGTCACACATACACTGTTTTAGTCAGTGAAGATCTGGCTGTCATGTGACATCAGTCCAGTTTACAAAATCTGGTGGAGAATCCAGAGTGCTCTCTACAACACTGTTCTTTTGTAGCCTCTTTTTTCTTTGTGATATAACCTTATTGCAGATACTGTGTAAGGATCAATAGTAAAATATACATAGGATAGATTCTACTGCCTAAGCTGCCTAAGCGCTTTGTCACTGAACCGATCAATTTATAAGAGCACAAGTACAATGTCAACCATTGGAGCGGTCACGCTGTTATACTTGAGCTCATATAAACCTGATAGTCTGTCGAGTGTCGCGAAAGACCTCGAAACATAACCAATATACAGACCAAGATCGTACATGATTCAACACAATGCCACATATTACATAAAGTTCACAAGTAGTTCAACATACATCAGAGTACGAATAAAGTTATTACAACACCAAGTTCAAATTTAGTAGCGGAAGCAACATAGTTTTGAAACCATCACACACACGGTTCAGATACATGCCAGTTCCAAGATCAAGTCCAACAAAAGCAACTTGAACAAACTAATATAGAAGGACCGTGCCCACGGTCTCACTCCTCGTCCACAGCTGGAGAGAAGCAGTTCTTGCAATTACCATGATACACAGTACCATCTGTAACAAGTGGGAAATAAATCCTGAGTACAAGAATATACTCAGCTAGACTTACCCATCATAAACCAAAAATAAAGAGACGCCAAGGATCATGCAAGACTTTATAAGTGGAGCTATTTTGACAATATTTTGCATAAAAAGCTGAAGTAGTACATGTATTGATAATTTTAATTTCTCTAGCAACAAGTCATACCGATTCACATTAAACATATCTAGGTTGGCACATGTACTAGAGCAATCACTTAATTTAAGCTAAAGCAAACAATAGTAACCATATCCGGTATAGTATTTTCATATTCATCATAACCATCACATTCCATCAAGTTACTACGATGAAGGGGCTCAGTCAAGTTTCTCACTATTCGGGAGAGACGACGATTCGAATCGATTACAACCAGCTGGGCAAAAATCCTAACACAAACCCATACTTCCCCCGTCGGGTCACCTTTGGTACAACTCAGGACTTAACTTCGCAGGTTCGATCAGCGCCGCACCCTCAGGGACCAACCAGCTGCTAGGACGCTCAGACCCGGCCTGTCCTTGGTCTCATATCCGGCTCCCCGTACATCCTTACTACCTCCAGTATGCGCACTTGGACAGAACAACTCCCGCCCTGAGTTGAGCTACTCGGCTTCGCGGTCGAAACGAGTTATCCGGCCAGCTAAGTGAGAGGCTGCGTTCAAAATGACATGAAGTTACATAGGCTTATAACAACTTAAATAGGCTTAGCATAGTGAAAAGTGTCAAACAATAGATTTCCTATTTTTCTTACGTTCCTCACAATACAAGAATATTGTGGAAATTAATTCATGCCTATAAGTTACATAAATCTACCATAATTAATTTCACAAGAAACTAGCATTTAATCAAGTTAAATTACAAAGTCATACTCAAAGCATGCTCACTGTAGGTTTAATATTTTTCCTAGCTACAGCATGTCAAAACAAGACCAACAAAATTGGAATCACATTTTTAGCATTTCCCTAACTCAAGTTATGCATTTTACAAGATTAATAGGTATTAAACAAGGTAAATTCAATAAGGATATAAAACTGTAGCACATACCAAGTTTCATATTTTTAACAGACAGTACTCACCAAGATGAAGCTAACAAAATTTGGTTCACTCAATTTGAACACTCCTAGCTATAGACATGAATTTTACAAGTTTGCATCAAATTCTGTAAAAGAATAAAAGAAAAACATTAAAAAATCCCAGCCTTGGCTAAGTGCACCCGGCGCATTGCACCCAGAGGCACTGATAGCTGGGCCCTACGGTCAGCGCGACCCCACATGTCACCAGCACAGAGCAAGGGCGCGGTTTGATCAACGAGAAGCTCGCCGACGGCGAGGTGTCAGGCGACACGATCGCCACCGTTAGCTTCGCCTCGCCATCCCACATCTAGCAATGTAAGCGGTTGGAGCTATTATGCCCTCTAGCTAGGGCGGCGGTGCTCATGGCGGTTCAGCGGCGCTCCGGCCATCAACGGCCATGGCAAGCTCGGGCGAGCTCGGCTACGGCTTTAGGGTTACCTAGGGGAGATCTAGGGTTAGGGTTCGGGCTCTCGGAGACGTCGGTGAGACACGACCGCGTGCATGGTGGCACGGCGGCTGCGCTGCGGCGTTCCGGTGAGTCAGGTGACGGCATTGCTCAACCAAGCCCCGTTCTAGTTTCCCCACCCTAAGGCTAAGCTCTAACGCCTAGAAGCAAGAGAGGAAGAGGACTAGACGAGTGTGGACACGGCAACAGCAATGGTGGCAATGGCAGCCGCGGCGGCCGCGCATTGGGCCTCACCTCTGCTTAGAAGGCAACGCTAGGAGGTCGAGTAGGTGGCGGGTGACATGGTGGTGCGGTGAGCACGACGAATTGACGGCGATGGCTGCGGCTGTCTTGTTGACTACGGTGGTGACGGTGCTGCTGCTGTGTTTGCGCCAGGAGCAAGAGAGCGGCGAGCGGGAGAGAGAGAGAGAGAGCTGGGAGAGAGCGAGTGAGAGTGGGAGAGGGCACGCGAGGCCGCGCTGCCTCCAGTGCCACCCTGACCGTTGCGTGTGCCCGGCGTCGGCGTATGGTAGCCACGCGGTGGCCACGGCCTATGCCCGGTCGGCCACGACGTCGTCCAGTTTGAATCGGCAAAGGCTGATTTCAGGCCTGACAACGCCGACTGAAACCTGATTTTCATCCCTCCACAACTCCTAAACCGTGCAGTGATTTGATCAACCAATTTCACCATTGGTTAGAGCCACAAGAGTACTACAAATTTGCTTAAAGGAGTTTGGCCAAATTCCAAATGGTTTGCAAACAAAAATGCTCCAAAGATGGGTACATGGAAACGGAAAGTCAGTTTATGACTTAGCCATTTCTTAGGTTTCAAAAACAGCATTGAATTGATTTTTGTGAGCCCTATTTGACTAAGCTAGGCACTGATCCTGATCCAGCTCTTGACCATAAAACAAAGTTTGTTCTACAGGAGCTAAGCTACGACTTTTATTTAGGTCCCACTACCATGCAAGCCCTCTAAATAGCTAGTCAAGATAGGTCAAACAATCAACATGATATAGGTCATTCAAGTCATACCAACACTTAGAAGCAAATTTGGACCAAGTCATGAATACAAACATGGTTCCATTTTTCATCCTAAGTGTGTCGAAGTTGTTTTGGTGACCAAATAACAACCACATGCATTAACAAGCATGATCATTAAGCATATATATAGATAATTAGGCATTTCATGGAATAAACATAGATTGAATAAAATGCAAATTTCATATGCTCATGCTCATGAATGAATAAATGATGCTTATGCTCATGCAATGCAAGTGCAAAAATGCAAGCTTAACACTTGGGGTGTTACACACTTCTCTCACATAATTTGAACATTTTGCGATTTTTTTTTCGCAAACACGCTTATGCATGTATTTCATTAAAAGGGTACCATTTTGCGAAATATTGCATGCGGATTGAGCAATGCGTTTCTCAATAAATATGATCTGATAAAATCCATGTGTGGGATGTTTCTAGCCATCTCAGTGCCTATATCCAGTGTAACCAGCACTTGGGAGTAGTTGTGAGATTTTGCAAATGCATGATCCATAGTATTGTGTTATTCTATATATATGTCCAACACGATTCGCCCTTTAATTTCAACTTGGCATGTATTTTTGCCAAATCATATAAGAGAACACACCATATTATACAGACTGAATGGCTCTGTTCGCTTGAGCTTATAAGCCAGAATCAACCCTATTTTTTTTAACTATGGAACAATGTTTTTCTCTTACAACAAATCAGCCCTACAAATTAGCTGCAGCAACAATAAGTCCTGCCGAACGCCGAACAGAGCCAATATAGGTTGAACAACATCATGCACAAAGGCAACGAAACTTGTGTCATTACAAACCCAGAAAAGACAGGCAACTCTTTGCACATCCAAGATGATAGTTTTTACTCTGAACATCTCTATAAGGCCAGAAGAAACTTATGTAAGCTTTACAGCAATCTAACAAAAATCATGTTATGTATGGCATTTTTAATCCTCATTCCCTGAGCAATGCAGGGAGCATATTAAGGTAAGAAAGAGTATAAGCACAGGGTATTTTAGGTGTGCGATTACAAAAGCATACATTATCCAAATTCCACTCAACAGTACATTTAGAACAGTGCCTCATACTAGTGACAGAAAAATGTTGCCTTTGAATGGCACCATTTTATTATTATTTGATTATTATCCTCAGCAAGTTGATGCAGAGCTTGGTGATTTTTGCATCATGGGAATAAGCATTGTCTGGAAAGGGATGAGAGAACTTGATGCGCATTGGTGATCACCATCCGCTGCAAACCAACCTGCAGGGCAACATAACAAGATTTGGGTAAAATAGAAGTTGGAGAATGTATGTTCCAAGCCTAGCAGATATTTCTGTCCCACAGCACACAGCCCCTAAAGGGCTGGGATGGGTGAACATGGAACTTTTATGTACTTGTTAAATGGAAACCATTATGTGCTCACACAATCTCATTAATCACAATGCAGAATATTGATTATTGCAAAATATATCAGATAGAAAATGGGTGCCAATTGTGTATACTGCAACTAGACTGAAATGATTGCCCAGTACTCCACTACGTGCTGGAACTAAGCAGTGAACTTAATCCAGTTGCAATGAAGTTTGGCAAAAGCTAGTAACCCTATGTACGACAAGCATAAGAAACACTGGTTTCTGTGGGAGATATAACCTTATATACATGGTGTTGGCTGACTTTATATGATTGTTCCACTAGGGATTAAGGCATCTTTAATCACTGTGACAATGCCACTTTTGATAAAGTATCCTTCTGTCTCCCTTACTGCTTCTTGGACATTATCAAAATTGATTATCTGTAAAACAACAAACTATTTAGGAGGGATGAACTGATGAATACATGACAAAAACAGCATTGCACATTTTTTGTCCATTATCAATTCTAGGAGAAGTTAGAAACAACTTGTACAAACAGTGAATATGAATTCCTTTGTATTTTAATTTTCTTTTGGTACAAAGGATCTATAGCTTTTATGGTAATACTCCCATGGAAATATATAAAATAAATGCATGGTCAGGTAATTTAGAATCTGACAAGAAAAAAACTAGAAAACGGCAGTCACTCTCTTTTGGAAAACGGTAAAAAAAAAGATCCATAGAAACCTTTTTACATAAATAAGATATTTGATTAATCCTTATAGTTAAACAATAGGCAATAGATACAAAACATCATCAGCTTAAGCCAAATTCGATATATTTGAATACCTTGACATTTTCTCCAATACGAGCATTTTTGTCGATTATTGCTTTTCTGATATGTGCATTCTTCCCAATACCAATGGGAATGCCACCAGTCTCAGAAAGGACTTTCTTATCATCCTCAGTCTGAACAAAAAAGAAAGAATGATAAGTTCTCATGATATTTCCATTGCGCGATGTTAGAGTTCTGTTTGACTCTACTTTACCTCGTAATAGTCTGCACCCATTAGTAAAGAGTCCTCTATGACTGCACCTTCAGAAATGCAGGAACGGAGTCCAACTACGGAATGGTTGATTGTGCAATGCTGCTAAAGGAAGACGAAGTGGAGCACAAAAATTAGATAACAGGTTTAGGAAGTCTATGCATTGAAATGTGAGAATGCACAAAGAAGCAATGACAATTGACAAATAGATCCACAAACTAACTTAAAGATCCCAAATGCATTATGATATGAAAGCCTCTGAAAACAATATATACTAATACATCAGAAAACATGTGAAAAGGCTTCTTACTTTAATAACACAACCTTCGCCAATAACACTGTCCGTCACATCGGCATCAAGAACCTTTGAAGGAGGCAAGTATCTAGGTTGCGTATAAATTGGAGCAGAACGGTCATAGAAGCTGTATACAGAATGTTTGATCAAAGGTAAGTGGTGGATCTAGAAAATTGCAACCTCCTAACTTCTTACGTAGACATGTGCAAACCATACCTAAAATCCGGTACAGGCTTCTTGGTTATTCCCAAGTTTGCATTATAAAATGCTTCAATAGTACCAATATCTTCCCAGTAACCATCATATAAGTAAGCTTGCACCTGTCGAACACAACATCATCATAAGAAAACATAGTAACTACTAAGAAGGCAGAGCCTCTCAATAAATGATGCAATTAGAATCTTTCAATTGACTGAAATGCCCAAATCATAAAATCCACAATGATAAAACAAAAACTGGAGGAAAGAAACCAAGAAAGCTCAAGAGCATAGCATACCCTTAATCCAATTTCTGTTGCGCCAGGAATAACCTCACTTCCGAAGTCATTTGCTGCAGGAAACTTTTCTCTGAGAAGCCGAAGCATCACATCTTTGCTAAAAACATAGATTCCCATACTAGCAATATAAGGCAGTTCCTTGGCCCTCTCAGGATCAAGGCCCAATATAGTGGTGTCAACCTGAAAAGGTAAAACAAGCAAAAATTAACTGAAAAAAGTGCAATCACAGAAGTAGCTCCAACAATCAGGACGCATAAGAACTGGGATCAAAAAGTTTATCACATTTGTACCATCATTGATCTCAGCTTCTCTCCTTTTGGTTTTTCTGCAAACTCAACTATCCTCCCTTCATCATCAATTTTCATAAGACCAAATGCAGTTGCACGTTGTTCATCCATTGGCAGGGCTGCAACAGTTATATCAGCATCTGTTTCTCTATGGGCCTGAATGAACTTTTGGTAGTCCATACGGTACAGGTGATCTCCAGCCAGAATAAGGAACTCCATGACATTGTGCTCCTCAAATAGCCACATATATTGACGCACAGCATCTGCGGTACCCTGAGATGGGAAAGCAAAACAGATCAACAAACCAGTGTGAGAAGTTGGATGGGGAATTTAGTACAGAGGGAAGACAGCATGTAAGTGGGTAGCGGAGGAAACAAGCATTTAGCTATTGGAACCTTATGTTCGTCAAAACTTCTAAAGGCAAACTCCACCTATTAAACATTAAGTGCCCCATGTGACAAAGTACAGTAGCTCATATCAATTGTCAGGAGATGCATTAAGTCCAATAAAAATTTGTTTACAAAGTAGGGTAGAAACATTCGATTATCAGAAGTGCTCAACCAATTATTTTCTCTCCACTTATTCTATGCACCCTCTGGAATCTAGCTACAAGTGAGTGGCAGTGCACTGACCATGCACTTGTGCAGCTGCATTTGTTGCAACAAAAAGAAAAAAGAAAAAAAAAGGTACTAATCAATTTTGTAAACAGTTCAAGGACAAAAATAAAAGTTAAGGTGGGATATCTAAGAGAATATTAATAGACAGAAGCTGGAAAGGCAATGAATCAGAGATGTACTTGGTATCAAACATCATCACTGCTGTTGTAAGCATGATCTAATATTCCAGGATGAATAAATTGATCACATGTCAACAGATGAACAAAGATACCTGAAACCAGTTGGGATTCTCTGGACTCTGTTGTGCTGCAAGGACCTCAACGAATCCCTCATTCTTGTACCCGGCAATGTTGTTCCCATAGGCCCTCGAGATGTGGCGGTTGAGCGAAGCAGAGTTGAACTGTGTTAGCACATATATCTTGGAGACATTACTGTTCAGACAGTTGCTGACAGGGATATCTATAAGCCTGTAGTTGGCGCCCAACGGCACTGCTGGTTTCGCTCTCTTCTTCGTCAGTGGATACAGCCTTGTCCCAGCACCACCTCCAAGGATGATCCCAAGAACACTCTGTAGGAATAAATGGACCACATGAATTACAAGTGATGAAAATGTGCCAGAACATTCAGTGACTGATCCGGTAGACCGGCACTTACATCGCAGATTTTATCAGAAAATCTTCTAATAAACTGACGGCAAGGTACAATCTTTAGATCTCGAGGCGATTATTAAATGCATTCCATGGACCACACAAGATCCTACTATAAATAAAGTAACAATAAATTATAAAGGTAACCCAACCGGTCACCCAACAACTAACAAAGGCAAGTGTTGCCATCATCTTTCCACCATTTCCTTCTTGGATCATATTAGATTCAAACCATTTAGAAAGTTAACATGAACAGTCAGTAGAAGTGAACGTTTTTACCCATCTAACTAAAAATAAAAAGAACAAGTTCACACCCATCAACGACTTGTGATTTCCCCACATTTTGCACTCAATCACTCAGAAAGATTCAACCATTTGCCATGTACACGCGCAAAGTACACCCGAAACCGCAGATGAGAAAAAGAAATCGCTTGATGCGAAAAGTCGAATCTTGGAACCCATCCGACGCCATCCAAAAGCCAAAAATCGCTCTTTTTTTTATCGCGTACCGTGCTGGCGTCCGGATCAAGGCACGTTTGCGAGCTCCGCGAGTCCGAAACGCCCCTCGGCGAGAACAGGATCGGCCTCCGGGCAGGCGGCGCCGCACGCAGCCGTCTCCCGCCGGCACGCCACCCTGGCACAGCCGCCCGGCGGCGTCCGAGGCCCAGATCACCGGGGAACGTAGCAGCGGCCAGGATCGGGGCCAGGGAGGTGGCGGCCATCGCGCCCATCGCCGTCGCCATCGGCGGTGGGTCGGAGCGTGCTCGCGGCAACGGCCGAGAAGGGAGGGAGGGTGGCGTGATGGGGGCAGTGACTGACACTGGAGTGGCGTGTTCTCTACCGGCTCTGGGAGTTTCAGACGAGCCTGTTTGGCGTTTTGCGTCACTGGAGCGGTGATTTGCGGAGAATGATTTCTCGGGCCCCTTTCGCTTACTTTTCAACTTTTTTTTTTATTCGAAACCGTATTTTTCTCTCGTAACAAATTAACTAAATCAATATTTTAATTTATATTTTTAGCAAAGCAAATAAGGCCTCTGCATTTATTAAGCACCGAGTATCGTGTCCCAGTAACGAAGAGGAGCCATCTCATCTCAAGTTTCTTCATTTATTTACTCCATCCGTAAAAAAAATTATATCTTGCTTTTTAAACATTCAATTTTTTTTTTCTAAAGTTCAATAAAGTTTATTAAAAAACAATACCAAATACCTCTAAATATGTTTATTCTAAAAAGGTATTTTCCGATTAATCTAACTATACTTATTCAACATCATAAAATATTAGTATTTTTATATATTAGTTAAATTTAAGAATTTTAAGTTTCCATGCATTTCTTTTGCCAGCAACCCCTGCACATTGTGGCTTCTTCGCTGCACATCATGTGATGGTGTCCATGGAAACACAAGCATACAACAACATGACATATAATCGTATATCTTCATTTCTTGTGTAACCTACAATATACAGCTAGTCACTGGTGGAGCTATGCGGAGGCCTACCGGAACACACCCCCACCTTGCCTCTGCAAAAGTTTCACTAGTTCTTAGTTGTAAATCACTAGCAGTAGAAGACAACACACACCCCACCTTGCCTATGCAAAAGTTTCACTAGTTCAGTTGTAAATCACTAGCAGTAGAAGACAACACTACCAATGAAGTACTACCTTTTGCCACTAGGAGAAACAACGGCGCATAATTTAACTCTGTCCTTTTTTACCATTAGCACATTGCATGTTCCTTTGTCTATATTTCCTTCGATATACACTTGCAACTCTAAAGAACTTTAGTCATGCATGGAGCGGCAACCAAAAAACTATAGCATGTAGCCACCAAGATCATCTACCAATTTTTGGTATATATAGAACTTGAGAACCTTGAGATGACGGTTTATTTCTAATTGGCTACAATTTCATAATCATTCACTTTGCCTATTACACAGTTGATTGCTTAAATACTATAGAAAAAATTGAGCAATTTGGCCCCTCCTTTAGTTTCTGTCATGCTCTGCCATTGCAGATGGCCTTTTCAATACATGTATAGGAATTTGAAGTGCTGACATCAAACTATGAAAGAAGATACACTACATGAAATTCAAGAAAAGATTTCAGCATTCTTAGTTCACTAGGTAATTGATCTGATTATCTGAAAGGGGAGTTCCATACTCATACAAGTCAACATTGAAAGAGTTGCCTATGATCTAAACATGATGTTGGGAGAGGTTGTTTGTGAACTTTGTGATGAAGCAATGCTAACTATATATATATGCTGATCCGATGACATGTGAGATGCTGCTATTTTATATGAGTATTCGGACTACCTGTGTGATGCTATTATATGAGTATTTGAGTGATCGTATTATTGATGGCTCAACTTTACATTTCATGTGTCGGTCCGCTTGATCACCCCTCATGGTGACAGGAGGTCGATAACTGCTAGGGCTGCTGCTGGCGCTTTGGTGGCGTGGTTACACTGCAATGGGCTGGGTGGGGTGGCAATGACAGTGTGTGTGTGCGGGCAAGGAGGAGGCAACAAGACAAAGAGCTACGGCAAGGCCTGGTGTTGGTGTCGAGTTGAGTGGCGCAGCAGAGGGAGGGAAGAGAGGCGGCGGCACAAAAGAAGAGGAGGGTGGCGCACAGAGAGGAGAAGGGGAAGGAGAGAGGAGATAAGGGATTAACCCTAAATTTGCTGGCCTTCTCATTAAGTGTCTCCTTCATATATATAAGGGGGTTACAATTGCTAATGGGCTTAGCCCATGAGTCTATCCTCCTATTGAGGCCTGATCTATAATAGCTGGGCCTATTGCCCCTCGCTACTTTCACTAGCCTGTTGTCTTGTTCTGTTGTCGTCTTCTGGCATAAGCCTATTACCGACCATGAAGAATCAACTCGTCCTCTAGGTGAAATTTAGGATATAGCTTTTGGAAGAGCTCAGCATCTTCCCAAGAGGATTCCGCGGCTGGCTGGTTCTTCCATTTGATTAATACATGTAGTTGTCTCCGGTATAACCTGGATTTAAGCATGAGGTCTGGCTCTAGGATGGTAGCTCCCTCGTGAATTGTTGGCACCTGTCCTGGTTTTGAAGGTAGTGTTCCTTTATGCGGCTTAAGCATACTCACATGAAGGCATTATGGATGCGAGTATCCTAAGGTAGATTCAGATGGTAAGTAACTGAGCCGATGCCTTCACTTATCTGAAAGGGGCCGAAGTATTTTGGAGCTAACTTGCCTTTCTAAAGATTGGAAATTCCCACCGCTGCTCGGGCCATTAGTCTAAGCCACACCCAATCGCCAACTTGGAACGATCTGTCCTTATAGGCATACCTTTGTAAGTCATCAAATGATGGTATTGCAGCATCACCTGGGCTATAGGTTTTCAACTGTGGAGGGTCACGTCCATAGACTAGTTTGAATGGTGTAGTTGGGATGGACTTATGGTAAGCAGTGTTGTAGCAGAATTCAGACCAAGGAAGCCATCTAATCTATTCTTTTGGTCTGTCTCCTGTCAAACAACGCAGATACATAGTGATGATTCTGTTGATGATCTCTGATTGTCCATCTGATTATGGGTGGTAAGCTGATGTCATCTGTAATTTAACTGCTGACAGTCAGAATAGTTCTTGCCAGAATCTGCTGGTGAAGATGACATCCCTGTCACTAACAATGGACTTGGGCAGTCCATGTAATCTGACTATCTCTGAGAAGAATTTGTGGGCCACCATTGTTGCCGAGTATGGGTGTGGTAGAGGGATGAAGTGAGCATATTTAGACAGTCGATCCACTACCGTAAGTATAACTGATTTACCTCCCACCTTAGGTAATACTTCAATAAAGTCTATGGATATGTCTTCCCAATTTTGATCTGGAATTGGTAGTGGTTGAAGGAGTCCAACGGGGTGGAGTTGTTCTATTTTATTGCATTGGCAGATGGTGCAGTCACTAACAAACTGTTGAACTGTTTGCTTTGCCCTCGAAGTGTGGAAAGTTTGGCGGAATTGATGTATTGTTTTTTCTGATCCCTCATGTGTAGAATTGTGGATGGCGTGGAGTACTTCTTGTAAGATAGGAGATGATGAGAGAATATATACCCACCGTTTGTATAGGATGAGGCCGTCCTCGAATGTCTAGGCTGGGGATAATTGTCCTGCTCTGATCGACTGTGCTAATTTCCCTGCTTCTTCATTGGTTGTTATCTCTGCCTTGAGGTGGTCGAAAATTGGGAATGTAATTTCTAAGAGGGCCAACAATGAAGGCTCTGTAGCATCCTGATGAGATAAGGCGTCGTCCATTGTATTCTATTTCCCTAGTTTATATTCAACTGTGAAGTCATATCCCAACAGCTTACTAACCCATTGGTGTTGTGGAATTGTTGAAAGATGCTGAGAGGGCCAGCAATGAAGGCTCTATAGCATCCCAATGAGATAAGGCATCGTCCATTGTATTCTATTTCCCTAGTTTATATTCAACTGTGAAGTCATATCCCAGCAGCTTACTAACCCATTGGTGTTGTGGAATTGTTGAAAGACGCTGGTCTAGGATGTATTTCAGGTTGTAGTGGTCAGACCTGATCAGGAAGGTGCACCCCCAAAGATAGGGCCTCCAGTGTTTGACTGCTATCACTAGGCCAACTAATTCCCTCTCATAAGCAGCTAGTTTGGCATGTCATGGAGCAATCATGCGGCTGAAGAAAGCTATTAGACCTGCCCCTTGATGAAGTACGGTGTTGAAACCCATTGAAGAGGCATCACATTCCACTAGGAAGGGTTTGTTGAAGTCAGGTAATTGTAATATTGGTGCTGTAGAGAGAACCTATTTTAGTTGCTAGAAGGATGTCAATGCTAGCTCTATCCAATGGAAATTGTCCTTCTTGAGGAGGTCTGTGAGAGGCTTGGCTATTGCACTATAGTTTTTGATGAGTTTCCTGTAGTATCCAGCAGGTCCAAGAAACCCCTTCAATTGTTTAACTGTTACTAGTTGGGGCCAAGAGGTGATGGCCTTGATTTTTCTGGATCAATCGCAACCCCTTGATCTGATATAATGTGTCCTAGATAGCCCACTGTAGTCTGACCAAAGGAACATTTTGATTTTTTAAGGAAAGCTGAATTAGCTTGTAGAAGGGCCAGTACCTGTCGAATGTGTTGTAGGTGTTCTTCCCAAGTTTTGCTATAAATTAATATGTGGTCGAAGAATACCAAGACAAATTTCCGGAGATAGCGGCCAAGAATATCATTCATAAGAGCTTGGAAGGTAGAAGGCGCATTGCACAGGCCGAAAGGCATAACTAGGAATTCAAAGTGATCGTGGTGGGTTTAGAAGGCCGTTTTCTCAATATCATAGGGATGCATGCGTACCTGATGGTATCCCGATCTCAAGTCTAGTTTGGTGAAGTACTTAGCTCCTTCCAGTTCATTGAGTAATTCATCAATTACTGGAATGGGAAACTTGTCTTTTAATGTGTTGTCATTGAGAGCTCTGTAGTCTACGCAGAAGCATCATGATCCATCTTGTTTTTTGATAAGTAATACTGGTGATGAGAAGGGAGAAGTGCTATATCTGATGATCCCCTGTGTTAGCATGCTATGACATTGCTTTTCCAATTCATCTTTTTGGATTTGTGGGTAGCGGTAGGGTCGGACAGCTGTTGGTTTACTTGGATCCTTGAGGTGAATGCGGTGGTCATATCGCCTTTTTGGTGGCAACCCTTGAGGGTCCTTAAAGAGAGATGAAAAGGTGTCCAGGAGGTTGTCCATT